TAAGATATTTGATGGTGTGCGTAAAAGGCAAAACTTACTTCAAACACATGTCTGAAAGGAAAATATCTTGCACTTTCCAAGATTCTGGAATTGAGCAGCAACATTTTATTTAACTCAACATTTTATTTAACTTGCAAAGAGCTAACATAGGAATCTAGGTACTGTATGTGTAGACATACAGAAAACAGACTCACAGGTATACATGAACACAAGTTAGTATATTTTAGGTCATACGTAAGGATGGTTTACATGTAGGAGACTCGGAGAGGCAATTTATGGGGGGCAGACAGAAAGAGAGTCATGGGGTTTCCAAGCCCAGACGGAGGGTGTGGGAAAAGGTGTCAGTCTTCTCTGAACCATCCAGGAAGTCCTTGTGAGGCAGACAACTTAAGGGATGTTAAAATGTCTACAGATGTGTAAACCTAGTCATTTCAGGCATATATTTATCCCTGAAATTGAACCCATGTGTGTCAAGTCACTGACGATAGATTTCAAAGGGAAACAAGACTGAACATTTCTGTTCCAAGCAGGTTTTTTTGTAGCAGCAGCTGCATTGATTTTAAGATAAGGGCTTCTTTATCCAGGCAGATGCAGCAGTCATCAGAAGCTAATTTGCTGGGATATTCACATATGCAAATCATGTCACAATGCTGAAATGCAACCACGTAATGACTGGAAAATGTTATACTCATAAATCATACCACCGCGATCATCAAAATTTCCACTCAGCCAGGACAAATTCAACAGCATTTATGTCTTTCCAGCTTTTAGCCCATAAAAACTCTTTTTTTTTTGGAGAGTGTGTTACACTGGTGATCTTAAAACTCCCAAGTCTGGTATAATGAGTCCTCAAGTGTGTTATAACTTACCAGTAATTACATTTCAACATATCTGCTTTCAGCAGTTAGTGTTTTATTCATAAACATTTAAACACTGAATTAGGCATAAAATAAAAATGTTGGCAACAACCCGGCTTAATTTCATTAACTATTAGGTAAACTTAGTATTTCTTCTTCAAATAATCCTTGGTTTTGAATGCTAAAGATGTAATGAACTTCACGGTTCATAGCATCTGACATTGCTTAATTAATGGGTGCATTTATAGTACATAGGCCTTGGTAATTGATTTATATGCATGATTTGCACATACAGCTGTTAGTTCCTGTAGGAAAGTCATAATTCAAATGTGTGCATATTTTGCAGATATGGGGAAAAGAAAAAAAAAATTGAACTTGACAAGTTCCCCCAAAACATGATAGCAAATTAATAGCTTAGAAACAAACCTACAGGATGAAGCATTAAAGTTATAGTCTTGAATTTAACCATGTGTGCATTTCAAAACATCGAGGAAATGCTTTTGTTTCTTTTAAAATATTTAGTTCATGAGAAATAGGAATTCATTTGCATACCCTTCCATTTAAATCTATATGTTGGGAGGGAAATGGGGTTAGATTGTCTATTGACTGAGTCAATGTCATTGAAATGTATCAAAAACTTAAAGGACATTCGCCTACCTACATAATAACTGGTCCTTTCCTTGGTATGAAGGTCAAATGACTGGATAAGCATTTAAATGTATTATTCTCTGGGGGGTCTCCATAATTCATAAATTTGAGGATTGCATAACATCTCCCCTAGTAGTAATGAGAGATTGTCACTTGCATTCTTTTAGCTTTTTTTAAAGCTAACAATAGTACGAATTTATAAGCAACGTGCCCTTGAGTGAGGGCACAGCTATGGTACACAGGGAGAAAGTAACAGGTCCAGTGAGTAAAAGTGACTGGTCCCCTAAACGAGGAATGATGTGTGAGAGACCGGGGATGCTGCCTCTGTAGTTCCTCCATCACACCCAGGGACCGGCCCTATCAGGAAGAAACCGTGATTTCGCTCTCTTCAGGGTCTTGGGTTAAGCCTTCCCTAAACGCAAGACCAACATTTAATGGGTAGGTAGGAGAATGTCATTTCTTTTTACGTTGTCCTACAGATTATTCCGGAAAGCTCAAGTTGCAAATTGAAAGGTCAGAACTGAACACTGAGCTCTGGGGGCGGAAGTCTGCTGCTGCAGTTCAGAAGGTGAAGCCGCGGAACCACCGCTCCGGGGTCCCCCCCCCCC